GATATTAATCTGGTATTAATCTACAAGCAAAATAAGGCACAGAATTAGGATTCTTGATTGGCTTTGATGTGTCCTTAATTACAAGTAGTTTAATTTAAAAAAAAATCTGGGGCATTTATATAGTTACGTATCTATTTTGTCACACAAAAATGTTTAATATTACCTAAAACTGTACTTTATTTACTACCCCATACTATCTACCTCAGGGGCTCCCAACCCCTGGTCCGTGGTCCGATGCTGGGCTGCATCTGTTTGCAACCGGGCCATTGGTGGGTGAGTGTGTGTATGCATGTGCATACATGCAAGTTGCATTTATGAAAGCAGCACACATACGTGTGTGAAACCATCCCCTCTCCCCCCCCCACGTCCCCCTGTTGGTCCATTGATCTGGAAAGGTTGGGGACAGCTGATCTACATCATGGATATCTAACCTTTTGGTTTGCCTGGGCTATATAGAGTGAAGAGGAATTGTCTTGGGCCACATATAAAATATATAATATAGTTAATATATATAAATCACATGTTAAAAGTTTACAATCTTGTAGGGCACATTACTAGCTGTCCATGGCTGCCTGTGGCCTGTGGGCTGGCCTGTGGGTTGGACATTCCTAATCTACATCTACAAACATTTTTAATTAATTAATTAATTGAATTTATATTACCGCCTATTCGCCCATGGTGACTCAAGGCAGCTTATAGAATACAAAACCACATTTAAAACAATAAAACTAATTTAAAAAATCAAGTAAATTAATATAGTATAATATAATAAAATTATCCCCACCCTTCACCTCAGCAATAGCAGATCACACGAGCCATCACACAAGCCATTTTGCAAATGAGCTGAGCCCTGAGACTTTTTAAAGTCCACTACCCTAGTTTTGATAGTTCAATGATCTTTATTTTCAAAAGCAATACCAATTAAATTAACATTTGGAAAAAATAAAGAATGACATTATATCACAAGCAAAAAATAAACACCAATTGCATGGTATATTCTAATAAACCAGGAAGAGCTATTTTAACTACTTCCTTTTCTTCTATTCTACAGGACAGATGATCCAACCAATTAGCTTTTTTGTGTGAGCAAGCAACTGAGTTGAAAGTTAAATACAAATGTGTAGCCTGTCAAACCACAGACTTATTTTCATGGCATGTCTGTCATCCCAAGGGGCTAGTGGGGGGGGAAAGAACTTTGAATAAATGAATTCTGTCCATCAAAGAAACTAAATACTTTTTGACATGGGACTTCTTTTATCGATGGCTAGATAATAAAAACAGAAGTTAGAAAGAAAGGGACATAAAAAGAATAAATGTTAAAATGGATATTTGTTAAAATGGACAAACAAAATATTATTGTTATTACAGTATTAATGTTACTGTGATATGTTATTGTAAACACTTTGATTATGATTGCCTAAAGATAATTGTACCCAGACAACACACTGTTGGATTGAAATGGAATTTTTATATATTATACTAATAAAACAAATAAACATTTAAAAAATTCTACCTTTTCTGCAGAAAATTTGAAAAATTCAGAATTATACTGAAGAGACTTAATTAGCCCTTCTAAATAGTTAATTGACAAGTCTGATCTATTTAAAGCTTTTAAATCCAAACTGTAATAATTACAAAAATATACTATTTTTATAATATTGAATGGTGTATTTTCAAGACCCGATGAAGCTGGGAAAGAACTGTGCTAAAAAAAATCTCTGTGAAAGATACAAACTATCAAAACACCAATTAAAGATAACTTTTAATGTGTGCATCAGAGCATCTTCCCATTAACCCAAGATACAGCACTAATAGGAAAAAGGCTGAAAAATTATTTATTTTACTATTAAAACACCTGGACGTTTTTTGCTATGCTGTTAGATGTAAAGAAGAACAATATTTTTCTTGATTTTTTAACCATGCAGAAAGGGGATAATGGCAAAGCAAAAGAAAAACATCTGTGAGGCATCTGGTCCAACATATCACTAATTCTCATATATTTTACAATGTTTTGAATAGCATGAACCTTTGTGACAAAGATGCTGTACAGAGAGGAGGATTAAGAGACATGAACTAGTAAAAACCCTGCAGCACACAGGAACAATGGAATTATAACTTGTTTCTTTTAAAACTGGAATTTAAATTTGGAGATCTTCACTATCATAAATGTGACAGATGTTGGCAGTTTTACTTGGCTATGAGTTTTGATTTGCAGGAAAGACGTACAGACAGCAAGATATATTTTATAAGCTCAAAGTACAATACCAGAAAATCCCACAGAGCATCTTTATTCTTGATATGATACAGCTATAAATGTACTAATGAATTATTTCAGGATTTCCAAAACAACTCATTAAAAAACAATATAATTACATTATATAAGGACCGCAAAATATCAGTCCAACACCACCTTCCATTTTATATATGTTTTTATGTTTTGTATGTATATGTTTGTTTTTAAAAATAAAACTTCTTTTATAAAAAAAATATCAGTCCAACAAAGTATCTCTAAGGATTATAAAACAGAAAATGATGGAGAAAATGATTGTTTCCTCAATAATAAAGATCAGAATTAAAGAAAGGCCATGACGGTGGTAGGAGACAATAGATACTTGACACTCTTATTCTGTTACAGAAGCTGAAAAAAAGTCAAGTTGCTTTAGTGGTCAAATAAATACCATACCAATGAGCAATGTTTGCTTATGTGTTACTGTTTCTAAAAGAGATACAGATGTACTTAATTACAGACTTAAATTGCCTTTTGGATTGTAAATATACCCATATTGGTGAAAAGGTTTCTAAATAACTATTACGTACATCATTCCATAGTTATTTTCTAGCCTATCATTATGGAACAAATTCAGCAATTCTGCTCAGACAGAATTTTGAACTTTCATAACTTCTTCTCTATCTATGTTGATATCCTAGAGAGGTCAGTGCAAACCTTCGTCATATGGCTCAAATGAAGGGCTGGATGGAAGCACTGGAGAGTTAATATAGGCTGCCACAAAGTTTTTCATCTCAGGAAATAAACAGAGCAAGCTTTGGATCGTTTATTTTTATTACATTTACATCTATTTATATTCCATGTTTCCTCAACCACAAAATTAAGATGAATTTTCTGTGGCTTTCCCAACAAATTTCCATTTAAGCAATGATTAGATCCCAGATCTGCTTGGTGAGTTGACAGAGGCTATTTAAACCGTTAAGCCTAATCTCCTGTTTAGATGGTTAATGTATTGTCAGCAAACTAAGTTCAATTCCAGGTGGCATGTGGACAAATGTTTATCATATTCATTTCTCTTTAGTAATAATCCACAGCGCTTTGAGGACAAGTCAGTAATCTTTTTGACCCCATCTATCTTATCTGTTGGCTTCCTTTTCTGTTTCCCTCCTCTCCATTATCCCTTAATATAATCAAATATAATTATTTTTAAATTTCCATTATTCATCCACATGTCCAATATGTGTGCTTGCTGGTGATTGCCTCTAAGGAACAGTCTGTCTTTACCTGGTCTTGGTCTACTTCTTCTTGCAGTCCTTGATACATTTTCAGACCATCTCCAAATCTATGTTCCAAAGACATCTATATTTTTTCTTTTGCTCCTTCTCAATGCTCATCTTTCACAGTTGTGTATTACCACCAGAAGGTCATTTCTTTAACTATTAGCATTAAATGTCCTTACCCTCTATAATCTTGCTTGTCATTGCCTTCTCCTCTTTACTTCTCCAGCACTCTGTCCATATTTATTGATCTAAGCCACCAAACTCATCTGAATAAAGCTGGAAGGGACCTTGGAAGTCTTCTAATACAAACCCCTGCTGAAGCAGGAGACCTTACACTATTTCAGACAGGTGGCTGTCCAGTCTTTTTTTAAAAACCTCCAGTGATGAAGCACTTACAACTTCTCTCCTTGATTAATTTCCATCCATTGTTTCTTGTCCTGCCTTCTGGTACTTCTTTGTGGAGGCCCCACTGCTCTCATTTCTATTTACTCATTTCTATTTACCTACTTCAGGTCTTTGCCATCCAGTGTACATATTTCACTTTCTAAATTTACTTTCACAGGCCTTATTGTCATGAAGGAAAGATCTTATAATGTTTTCTGATCTCTTGGTTTTTTTTTGTCTATTTAGTATGTTTCTCTCCATGTATGGTTCTACTTTTTCTAAGCAATTAAGCAAACTCTTAATGTGCAAAATTAACGCAACATTGCTATTCTTTCAGTACATACTAATCTTTTCTAACCTCTGTCCCATCCTGTTGTTCCGTAGTATTGACATAGAGTTGTTAGCACTTGAGCTGGCTCTTCTGCAACTTTTTAAACAGTTCAGTACGGTACAGTATTTCATCTGCATGTGGTACTTGTTAATCTTACAGATGGTCTATTGCATGTCATAATTCATTTTCTAATGGATTCAGTTATCAAATACATTCTCTCTTTACAAATATTCCTCTTCATTTTATAATCCTTTTTGCAAATGATTCAGTACAGTTTTCAATATTCTCTTCATCTTCTCTGTCTCTAGCCAATTTCTCCTGTGATTACTCTCAAGTATTCCTATCTCTATATTTTTCTTGTGTTTGTTTACATATTTTTAAAATATATCAATTTTTTTTCTTCAATATTCCATATTTTTCAATGCTATTTTAAACAAGCTAGAATTGACAATGGAGATTCAGCAGTGGTGGTAGCTTCTTCCTTTAAGGATCAACTATCAGTAGGAAAGGAGTCAGCATTCAAGATATATCCCCAACTAGCACTTGGTAGCAATAGCACTTAGACTTATATACCGCTTTATAGTGCTTTACAGCCCTCTCTAAGCAGTTTACAGAATCACCATATTGCCTCCAACATTCTGGGTCCTCATTGGTAAAGTAGCAATTAAGGTCCTAGAAAAGTATTCAGATGCCTATACCTTTAAGATTTCTGAGAATGTCATGAATAGCTCATAGAACAAACAAACAAAATGTGCTCTATAAATAAAATACAACTTACAGTTGCTAATGACTCCTCCAAGTGGATCACCTTTAAAATCAAATTCAATGTCCATATATTTTCCCTGGAAAGAGAATACAAAAAAAAAAAAAAAGATTGAAATGGTTTCTTTGATTTACATGTCAGCATTTTGAGATCATTTAAATGTAAAGAATTTTTAACAATTTTTAACCATTCTAAATTGTTTGACTTTAAATAAATCATATTGTATAAAATACACTTATTTATCTTACGGCATACGATGTCACCAAATTAGGTTTTTTGTTAGGTAACTTCTAAAAATCCATATATTCCTTGGAAAATTCTAGGGGCTTTCCAAGAACAATTCTGTGGTGCAGGTTTCATATAAACAGTTACCCAAACACACATGCAGACCTATTATCCAATATGGGATCATTAAACTGTGCGTGGATTTTCTTTTCTTAACCATCAGATTGTAAAGGTTGTCCTTTCAAAATGCTCCTTATTTTATGGGACTGAAATATGGCATATGGCACAGTCATAATAATAGAGATATACAAGGTTAAGAAATATCTGATGATCCTGGTGTGCTTTTCTGTTTGATTTCTGACATCAGCCCTGAAAAGAAAGCCCTGCATAAAACAGCAAGTAGACATTTTGTGAACATGAGGAGTGGGAGCAGAATGTTTTAGATGCATTTGAAAGGCTGTTCTAAAGTGTGTGAATAGAGTATAAGCATACAGAGAAGTGACAGCCAACAAGTTCACCCTATTTGGTTTTTTTTTTTAATTTCATTGATTTTATAGACTTGTTCACCACTGGTTTTTCCATTAATTCTGCTTTTCAGAAGCTGGTTGTGAAGCACAGGCATAATGATAACATAACTGTGGAATGCTGTGACCATTGGTTGCACTGCTGTAACTTCGAACAGTTGGTAAACAAGCAGTTGTTAAGGAGGACTATATGTATTAATAGCAACATAATGAAGTATCATGTCCATACCTGGCTTTGTAAAAGTGCACATTTTTGCCATATTCTCCCTTTCTCCCCCCACCCCAAACTATTTCTGTCACATGGCTTTTAGAAGACCAACTAAGCCAACAATAATATAAATCTAAATCTAAATTATAATTATGCAGTCATACAGTCCTAAATTTATCCTGCTATTGGCTAAGATGTGAGGTAGCTCTCTGGTGTCTGTGCTGGTATATTTCTCCAAAAGAATGTCCACTTCAAGCACAAAAGTCTCCTATAATGCATTTTTCATTCACAAAGCTCTTTTGTTTCAAATCTACTAGTTATAGGGCTTAAAAAACAGAGAATTTCCCCTTATTATATGTAACTGTTATTGTGCTCAATCCAGTGTCTAACCAAATATATTAACCTGATTTTAACAAATAACATATAAAATTTGAAACTAGTGCATCACATATATTAACTTTCAGTATTTAGGGTATAAAGATATTCCCTGGAATACCATAGCAAGAGAAAACAGTCACCTACATCGCAGTATGACAAAGCTTGCTATGACACAGTATTGGGTTAGATCCAATATTATTTTATAAACCGAAGGAAATTGGCATTTGTAGATGGAGCCCCAGAAGAATCTACTAGGAAAGAACTAGACATATGTAATTTTCTTAACAGAAAGACTAAAGAAAAATAAAACGCTAATCAGTATGGAACATTAATTCTACACTGCACTGTAGTTCTAACATTTCACTAGTAGTGATCAGTCCTCTGGCCAAATCCCTTGTATGTTTTTATTTTGATACTTACAAATCTAGACGAGTTATCATTTCTTACAGTTTTGGCATTTCCAAAAGCTGGTAGGAAGAAAAAATAAAATTAAATATATGCACAATTTAACAGTAAAGCGGGGCAAATATTAAAAATACAGTTAAGATTGTACCAAATAAGTTGGATAATTCAAAATGAAGCAGTCACAATTTAAAAAAAAGTTTAATGTAAGTAGAAATAAAATAAGTAGGAATTTTACAGCTTGTGTAATAGTCCACGTACAGTATTTTATTATAATGAAATAGAATCTATTTAAGATATGGTGGCCAGTTCATTAATATATTGATAGTTAATAGTTTTCCATTAGTGTCTGTTTTTACTTAAGAAAGAACTGGATTTTGAATGCTCGGCTTAAAGGACCAAAGAAAATATGTGTGCAATGCACATGTAAGCAGAGATACAAAGAGAAATAAGGCATTCAGGTAGAAGGAAGAGCATTAACTGGTAGTGCATTATCTAGGTTCACACAGCCATAATGGTTTTGCATACAAATAGCTCAGGTTCAAAGTCCAATAATTCCAAGTGGGAATGGAAAAGGAACCTGTTTGAAAATCTGGAAAGCAGCCATCGATCAATGCAAAAACAATGCTGAAATAGACAGGCAAAACATCTGTACCTTTACATGCTTCATAAATGTCTCTACCTGTAGAATTGAGTTTTTGAGATATACAATTTCATGGATAACTCTTGATAAAGATGAAGGATAAATTCCAAATGGCATGTCGATCAATGTATAAACATTGTATGAACAAACAGTTAACTCCCAAATTATGCTACCACACCCAAACCATCATATTATGGAATTATGGGCTATAGTTTCCCTGCAAACCATAAAATAAGGAGAGGAATCATGAACAGAGTATATGATCATGTTTATTAATGTAACATTAAGGCACAGTTTGGTGTGAGGTCTGAACTCTACTGTTGTCTATTACCCTGACATAATTATAGTTCACAGGGTTTTAAAAAAATGGTCATATTAATCTTCCTTCAAAAGAACTGAGCCCCCAAGTGAACAAATTAGCATTATCATATTACAAACATATTCTAAGGAATTAATGTGTTAGGTTACTTTGTACTAATTACATTAAACATTCTTATATTACAAAGGGTATGCTGATTTTTTTTGGCTTCTGTACATAAGTGAACGTTCAAATCAACTGGATATTTGAAATGTTATTTCTGCTTCACTAAATTTGGGGTTTTGAGACTTCCCTGGATCAAAGCACTGATGCCAGAACGCAAAATGCATGCTGAAATAATCATTCTAAAAATTTAATAGAGTGCAATTCACAAGCAATAAATCATCTTCCAGTCTACAGGCTGCATATCATTAAGCATGAGGCTAAAACACTAGGACCATTTATATATGCATGCAGAATCAAATACAAATGGTCTATTATAAGAGTTTAGAGGCAAATTCTTTATTTTACCATAAGTTCATTGTTTCCCTATGTTCTTCTGCAGTAGCTGGAATGCAAAACTCAATCACTGGTAACTTAGGCAAGCAAATACACTGGACATTTTTGAACAATAATTTCATGCAGTGGCAAAAAAAAAAAAAGAACAATGGCATCTAAATAAAGTTATGACTAAAGCAAAAACTACTCCAACTTGTTCTTTAAAAAGATATATTTGTCAACTTTCACATGACAAATATTTGGAAAGAACGCATACACACACATATATAGTTCACGCACACACAAGATAAAGAACAATAGATATTATGACACCATTTATTTGTCAGACATGAAAATTCATGCAACTGATATGTTTTTTTACCATGAATATTTCAAATATGTTACAGTCTCTGCTTTGAAATAATAGCAAGCACAGAAGCAGTTTCCTACATACACTTTTAATTTCGTCTCTGTACAATTTGATGTGGCATTGGTGGACATGCCTTGGTATACCCGTGTAATACCTCTACTTTGTGAGCTGACCTAGCTTCCAGTCTGCTTCTGGGTGTAATTCAAGTTGTTGGCTGCCACCTATAAAGCCCTACATGCCAAAGGGCTTGTGTCATGCCCCTGGTGCAAACTTACTCTGAGGGAGAGGAGGAACAGCCAACAGGGAGTGGGAGTGTGGCTCTGGAGGTTGTGGAGGAGGCTGGGGAAGGGCAAAGGCTGGTTGAGCAGTCAGAGGAGGACCCAGGCCCATCCCCTATCCATCCTAGGACATGCAGGGAGGAGAGGATAAGGGAGAGACATGGTCTACTCGGGAGGAGAGGGCCTTGATCCTCTTCATGGGTTGCAGGTGTGACAACTGCATAAGAGTTTGGACCTGCGTACTGGCAAACGTTGGAAACAAAGCGTGTTTTATTTTGGTCTGAAGTTATCTTGGTTGGCGTCCTTCCAACAGACTGGCCTTGTTATCTCCTTGAATTTGGTAAATACTTCTCCTGTTCCGTTGTGGAAATTTTGTCATTGTAGTTTGTTTGGTTTTTTATTTTATTTATTTTTATTTTTTATTATTATCTGCTCATTAAATTCAGATTGCATTGCTTTCTTTTGAAGACTATTTTTTAGTACGTTTTATCTCCAACTGAGTATTACTGAACAGTGGGGCCAAGTTTGGAGGCATTAAAGGACATTTATTTACGTTTTGGATTTTGTTACATTTGTGTTACACTCTGGGTCATCATAGCTTGGATAACTGAAGGACTGACATAGCATCTGCCAGGCTAGTTTGAATGGCCAAGGTTGGTGTGTTCTGGGTTCCTTCAATTAATCAATGGCATCTACTGAAACCCTGGAAGTGTTCCTACCCTCTAGAACCCTGGAAGTGTTCCTACCCTCAAGAGCTTCCTCTTGAGATACAAATGCCCCCCCAAAAGCCTGTTATTTCAAAGGAGTTCGAAGATGTGGTGCTTTGCCCAGGCCTCTGACAAGGATGGCTGGTACCCCCTTTCTCCCTTTTTCATGTTCCTATATGGGTTTGTATTTTTTCCCCCTCATTTTTGTTCTTTTGTCTTGTGCTGTTCTTGCATTGTCCTTTGTTTTCAAACATTTTTAACTTGGAAGTCAGGAAGCATATATATTTAATAATTAATTATTACTATGTGTAACTTGGTGCCTTTCTGATTTAAAAATTAAAATTACCTAAACTACAGCTAGACAACAGATAACAGTATTCTATAGCTACCAAACAATTGACTTGCCTGGCCACTTCTTTCCGCTTCTTTCTTCTGCTTTTGGCTACACGCAAGGAAAGCAGCAAAAGTCTTTCTTTCTCTCCCCCCAAACTCCGTCAGAAATGAGTCTTTGGGACCCTGCAAGGCCTCCTATTCCAAGAGGCTGAGCCAGCAAAGACTCATTTCTGGCAGAGTTTGGGGGGAGAGAAAGAAAGACTTCTGCTGCTTCTGCTGCTTTCCTTGCATGAAGCCAAAAAGATCCCAAATAAAGAATGATCGATCAGTAAGAAAACGGGGTGGGGAATTTTCCTGCACACTTTTTTGGGGATTTCCCCCCCCCCAAAAAAAAGTCTTCAGGAAAACCCACCACCCCTTTTTCCTACTGATCGCAGAATACCCCCCCCCTCTCTCTTTCCCCCTCCCTCTGAGAACGGAGCTTTCTCCTTGGAGGATATGTGTGTGTGTGAGGGACCTGTGTGTGTGAGAGAGAGGGGGGGGGGAGAACATCACCACCAGCCCTCCGAGGTTAGGTCAGATCTCTCTCTCTCTCTCTCCCTCCCTCTCTCTCTCTTTCTCACAATCAGCAAGCCACCATCAGTCAAAATTCATATTAGTGGTCTGTGGGATTTAAAATTATGTGTTTGGTAGTCCCTGGTGACTGCTGATTTATGGTATTTTTATGTACCATTGTTTGTATTTATTGTAATCAATTTTGGATGAATCTGATCCCAAAAGACAGGACATACATACCTCCATACATACATATAAACATACATACATACATACATACATACATACATGGCAACATGCCTGTTCAGACTTCACTTAAGTTCAAATGTAGCAGTTTAATAAGACATATAATGTGCAAACATGGCATATGTATTACTTTGCAATTTATTGTTTGCAGATGTCTTTCCATTCCTAACAGCATTATATTCTAATGGCATTATATTTCCAAAAGGGTAGCAAAATATTCTTTAAGAATGTTATTTGAATACTGCTTTGCATGTTTAAAAAGAAGAATGCAAAATCACAGCAGAAATTCAGGCTAGGACAAAATATGACCAACTATGAATCAGAGAAGGATAGAATGCAAACAAGAATGTAGGAGTTTAAAATAGTTATAAGGAAATATGTCCCTATTGTGAATGCTTATCGAACCTTAAAATTTTTGTTGTATATTCAAGAATTATTAATAATCGTCAACAAATATCCAACAGTGTTAGATACTAGCCTCTTACCTTCAAGTACTGGATTAGATTGTAAAAGTTGTTCTTTTACTTGATTAACTTCTGTTCCTTTGCCACAAACTGCTGCCACATAAGACATGACAAGCTTGCTGGCTTCTGTAAATTATAAAAGAGAGAGAAAAATAGTTATATTCTACATGAAATAATTTATAGTACAAATGTCTGAATGAATTACTTAGATATATAGTAATGTACTTCTCACATTCATCCTTGTTTTCTGCATTTATCTTTGTTTATTTATTATTTTGGTAATATTCTGTACCTTTATTAGAGTCACCATGAAGCAAGACATCTATGAATTATTTATCTTGTTTAATATATTTACATCCTGACGTTTTAGTCAGGAACTCAAGGTTGCATAAATAGCATATATTTTTCCTGACATTAGGTTGGGCTAACAGAGAATGACTGGCCCAAAGTCCCCCAATGAGCTTTTATGGCTGAAGGTCATAACAGAATTCTAACGGAAGCATTTGATAAAAGAGAAAATAGGGAATATGTCTTCATGCCATCTAGTAAGGATTACCTTAATACTCCATTAATGGAACACTATAGCCTTGAAATCAGTTGGATGCCCATCAGTAAATGTAATATAACAGCAATCTGAAGCATTCAAGAACATCATTAATTTTAAGTTTTGATTCTACATCCACTTTTGCTGTCTTTTAGTGAGTTACTAAACCCATATCAAAATTTAGTTAGACTGCTGGACCATATTGGGAATTATCTATCTTTAAAGAATTAATCTGGTATAATGGTTAAGGCACTGGAATAGAAATCAGGAGACTGTGAGTTCTAGTTCTGTCTTAGGGACAAAGTCAGCTGGGTGCAGTTGGGCCAGACACTCTCTCAGCCCTAGGAAGAAGGTGGCAATCACAAACCATTTCCAACTATCTTTGCCAAGAAACTCTTATGGACTAGTCCAGACAGTCCAGGAATCAAAACTGACTCAAAGGCAGGCAGGGGAAAGCCTTCAAAGAGAATCTTTCTGCTCTGCAATCTTCAACCATTTGAAGAATGTGCTTGGAGAAGCAAAGCCTCCTTAAGGCCACATTCCTCTCCTATCAGGAAGAGCTCACTGTGTCCTTATAGCTGAGAAGGTCATTTAGATGGCATCTGAGGTAACTCCTGTTGTTTCTCCCTTCTTTTTCCTGATTTATTGCTCCCTTAGATTTGGTTTGCTAGATTTTATTGCTATTTAATTATATTGTTATATGTGTGTGTGTGTATGTATATGTATATGTACTGTATATGTACCATATCTCCTCAAGCTTATTTGCCTTATGAATCCTGCTAGTTGAAATGATAGACTGACAGAATTTGAATAAAAATATACTTCTGGGGACAATGGTGGACCGAAGACAGCTTCATGAAAAGAGGAGCTGATACTTGCAATTGTGACCATCATTGGAAGCCCACAAGTAGATGTCTCCTTTAACTCCCTCTGGGTAAAGAGAGGATGTGAGGTCACCCATACTGTTCTTCTTAAGGTTGTTTCTTACAAAGAGATTGCAAGACGTATTTGTAAATTGCAGGCCAGAATTGAGAGATGAAGAAATTTGCCATAATTGTTCCAGCCACAAAAAAGAACCTTTCAAAGGATACTAAACTCATGTACTTCCCTGCTAATCATCTGTAGAAAGTGCCTATAAAGTAAACTACTTCAAAATAATCAGGCAACTTCAAAGTGACGAGTGTTATAATGGATAAGTGTTTTCAATCTTTAAATATAAAAAAATGAAGATCTATCTTTATAATCTTTAAGAATTTAAAATAAACAGCAAAAAAGCAAGGCAAGGTTTGCCTATAGAAAGCTTTAAATGGATTAAGTGCTCATAAATAGGGGAAATATTAGATTTTGAGCATTAAAACTTTGAAATTAATCTTAAAGAATAAATTCATTTTTGTGGGGAGGAAAAACTGTTTTTGATATTGGAGACATAACAAGACAAGTAACTTATAATAGAATTCAAAGGTATCTTTGAGGAACTGCATCAAGAACAGCACTAGGTTTTTTTAACCAATTGTTATGTATGTTGTATGTTCTTGGGAACAGTCTGTTATCAGAAGAAGATATTACAGAAAAAGATATGCAACAAAATCCATCCAAGAACAATCTGAATGAGACTTTCTGAATAAGAATTTGTCATAAGATATTTTTTAAAAATGGATGAACCTTCAGCAATTAAAAAGGAAATGATGATGCCAGAGAACAATTTGAATGACTGCTTTTTGTTTTACAAAATTACAAAAGAGGCTGTTTAAAGTATGGAAGAAATTATTAAGTGGATTAGCAAATTAGAGAAAAAATATTCTGTAAAAGAAAAAGAAAAAAGGAATACAAGATCCAGGGTGAAAATGGGACATGTTGTCATTTTGCCTGATTCTTTTTGGGTGCGAACTGGGAAAATACGAACTGGGAAAAGGCGGCATATTGGATTTGCTTACAATTTAATATGGAGTTTAAACATCCTCCTTACAATTATTTTATTTATCCTAATTGGATAGCATTTAAATAGACTCTGTATCTGTCGTTATATTTATAGTAACAAAGTTTTGAGAATTTGTTTTCTTTAAAAGAGAAATTATCCCTTACATTGTAGTCTTTTGTTTATATTAGGAGAATGGGATTATTTTACATTTGCTAAATGTGAATTTGTTTAGAGTTTCAATATGGAATGTTTATTTGAATGGGACATATTATTTGGGGCCATTTTCTTTGGAATTGTTGGTATTTGGTATGGAAAAATGTTGTATATTGGAGTTTGTCTTTTTTAAGGAAAATATTATTATGTTATATTTTGTTTTTTGTTTACCCTACAATATTAAGACCATGCCTTTTAAATGTGGTTTTGCTTACAGCTAAGAATTAAATGTGGAATGTTGAGTTTAACTTGGTTAACTAAGATTAGTATTTCAGAGTTCTGATTGGACCTTTTGCTGATAATTGGATTGGAGAAGGGATTACAGACATTATTCTACTAACAAACTTTCAAGTTGCAAAGTTTTGCCAATAAGAAGAAACCTGTTTGCACCTGGAAGTTGGGGTCGTGGACAGGTTTATTTGAATTGGCAAAATACATTTACGGAGCACCATACCCCTGGGACATTCTGCACTGGCGCAACACACTCCAGACAACCGGCAGTGTCATAGCAAAACAGGTCCAGTGAGCACACACAAAAACTGGTAGTCCTCGATTTATAACAATTATAGCTTATGACTTACAACCATTTGTTTAGTCACTGTTCGAAGTTACAATGGCACTGGGAAAAAAAATGACTTATGACTATTATTGACTTATGACTTATGCAGTATCCCCCATGGTCACATGATCAAAATTCAGTCTTTTGGCAACTGACTCATATTTATGATGGTTGCAATGTCATATGATCATATTTTGTGACCTTCTGACAAGCAAAGTCAAAGGGGAAGCCAGATTCCCTTAACCACCATGTTACTAACTTAATTGCAGTGATTCACTTAACAACTGTGGCAAGAAAGATTAAACTGTGGCAAAAAGTCATAAAATGGGGCAAAACTCATTTAACAACTGTCTCACTTGGCAACAGAAATTTTGGGCTCAATTGTGGTTGTAAGTCAAAGACTATCTGCGTAGAGTTTAGGTACCCAGTTTATCCTTTTGTACTCATTTTGACCTTAGGACTAGTAAAGCTGGAGACATAGAATTCCAAGAAGAATGTAAGGTTCACTCCACTGTCTCTTTCTCTAGAATCCTTATAGCATACAGCCTTTTTTGTGCTGACTTTCTTTTGCCTGGTCTATTTTTCGTATGCTATCAAATATTTTCACAACTTTGTCAGTTCCAACGTTTTTATGTTTCCTTAACCATGAACCTTGATGTCTCACATTACTGTCAATATTTCATCTTTCTAGTTCCAACCTACGCTGAAAAAAAAATGCTCCACTATCTTTTGCGAAACAGACCTATGAGCTGAGTAATAATGAATTCTCCTATCTGGGACTGTGGAAGATGTCACCGTAATAATATGGCTAGTCACAAGATTGGATTGAAAAAAGAGGATGCATGTTAATATCTTTATCACTGGTAAATGATCTAATAATAGATATATTACCTGTTTTTCCAGCTCCACTCTCTCCAGTTATAAGTATACACTGGTCCTTATCCTGGTCTCTCAATGATCGATATGCTTCATCAGACAGGGCAAAACTATGGAATAAAGTACAACATATTAAGATATCTAGGTCACATCCAGTGTTACTCAAGAAGCACCAAAATGTTTAAACACTCCACTGACAAGTTAATATAAACCTGTACAAATTACAGTGGAACTTTTGGCTGTTACAAAGGAATGCTACCAGCTGCCTGTATTCTTTTCTTACAGATTGCTCATAAACACCTGGAAATGAAACTGTAATTTCTGTACTCTAACTAACTTATTTACTTCATACATGCAATGGAGAAGTTGGCTATTGGCTCATATTAAAATGATTTTAAGAAATGATGGGAGAGTGGTCTAAAAAATCGAAACATATCATATTACCTTTTTACAGAAAATTATAGCTATCAATCTATTCTCCCTGAAATCCATTTCTCTCATTCAACAGGAAAAATTATGATGAGATAGGATATACAAACACCATTCATACCAACCAGATCTAGGATGTGAAATGTCAGCCATTGGTATTTTTCATCATCAGTTCCAAAAATGGAATAGTACAATTCTAGAAACTCAAATTTGGAAGCTAAAATATTGTGCAATAAGACCTAATGTTGTACAGTACAGTATATTATGGTTGCAGCTTTAGCAAGTCATCAATACTATTCCTAGACTTCACTTACCTCATCATTAACATATGCTTCAGTTCTAGAACTCATATGGAATTATACACTAACATTTAAATCTAAAATATTTTAAGTAGCAACATTTATTTATTTAAATTCATTGGTTGCCTAACTTCAATAAGATATTAACTGGTATGTTTCAGTGCTATATTGAGATTACTTGTATTAATTGTCTGAGATATTGTCTAACATGCTTGGGGTGTTGAAACTCTATAGTACTATAGAGTACTATAACATGAAAGTAATTGTATATCTGGAACATCATCTCCCCAAAGATTAGACTGGCCCCCACTCTTTTGGAAGGCCCTGAAGATGTGGTTCTGTCAATGGGCGTGGGGAACCCAGAGCACGATGGAGCCCATTAAATGGCTACCGTGTTTCTCACAAAATAAGGCCGCCCCCCCCCTTTTTTTTGAGCCCCGAAAAAATGGCTAGGCTGTCTGTTTGGGGTGACTTAATTTCCTCCCCCACCTAGAGCGGCCCATACGCACATACCTCTCCACGAGGCCATTTCTATCGGCCAACAAAAGCTCCCCAAAGGCAGAGTCCCCAGCCGCTTCGGGGCAAGGCGTGGCTGCCCATGTCCCCTCGCCATTAGGCAGTGTCTTTCGGGTGATGGAAGCACCCCAAGGGCAGTCACCAGCCACTTCGATCGGCCGGTAGAAGCGGCCTTGGGGCGAGCGCACACGCACACTCCCCTTACCGCAAGACCGTTTCTATTGGCCGACGAAAGTTCCCCGAAGGCAGTGTGTGTGTGCACTCGCCCTGAGGCCGCTTCTACCGGCCGATCGAAGTGGCTGGTGACTGCCCTTGGGGAGCTTCCATCGCCTGAAAGACACTGCCTAATGGTGAGGGGACAGGGGCAGCCATGCCTTACCCCGAAGCGGCTGGGGACTCTGCCTTCAAGGGAGCTTTCATCGGCCGATAGAAGCGGCCTCGCGGCGAGGGGGAGTATGTGTGTGCGCTCGCCCCGAGGCTTCTTCTACTGGCCAATCGAAGTGGCTGGTGACTGCCCTTGGGGAGCTTCCATCGCCCGAAAGACACTGCCTAATGGCGAGGGGACACGGGCAGCCATGCCTCACCCTGAAGCAGCTGGGGACTCTGCCTTCGGGGAGCTTCTATCGGCTGATGTTCTATCGGTAGATCGGGGTATTCTAGCCTAGGCTACCTGCAGGGCACTCCTAAAGGCAAGTTTTCTCCTCACCCCCCCACCCTTCCACCCATTTCTCTTCACCTCGTGTAGTTGTAATGAACGATGTGAGAAATGATGGGGAAACACATGGATTAAATAGGCCTAAATTTTGGGGGTGGGGCTTAATTTCACCTCATGCCTAGAAATCATGCTGGCCCTTCCTATTGGTGGAGGCTGTATTGTTGGAGAAACAACAGTAGTATGAATGTGTGTTGTTGCCGGGGGTGAGTGTACTATTTCTTATTTTTCTTTTTATTCTTTTTATTTCTTTTATATGGTATTTTTATATCCCTGTAAGCCACCTTGAGTCACCCTGTATGAGTATGGTGGCAATATAAATTTTCTAAATAAATAAATATGACAGGCATAAGAAGCCAAGTTCCAGAGTAGAGTTAAAGTACTAAGAGTTTATTTTGTGCTACCTATACACAAGAATCTGGTCTACTAATGGTCAAGGCAAATTCACAGGGGACTGGACTTAGATCTCTTGTGGGAACGAAGCGATTCCAAACTGCTGAAACATTTGACCCTGCCCTCGGACTCAGTCTGGTCTCCTACAATATGCATTTTATATCCATAAGCATGAAACCTTCACATTTGAATAACAAATTCTTCAAATAAAGGAATAATTTTAAACATTATACATCACAATAGGGTGAGTAAAATTATAATCTAACAAAGTAAGAGACATAAACTACAGTTGAAAATTAAGCCAAGATAGTAAGAAATGATATTTTAAAATTTCTTCATGTATTTTTCACCCTTTGAAATACCATGAACCCTAATTCATGGCACATAGAACAACCTTTAACATCTCTCATCCTCAACCAGAAGAATTTCCAAAAAATTATATTTACATTAAGGATGTAAATATATGGGATGGGGGAAAGTTCTACCGCCAAAAAAATATTATACAATGTGCAAGTAAGTATAAATGCTGAAGTTCAAACTATTCCATTTTACAAAAAAAATCAAAACCACATTTAAAGGGAGTAAAACAGTTAATGGTTAAAGAAATTATATCTTTCCTTACTGTCAGCAGCCTGTTATAGTATATAGTGATCTGAACAACTAGCAACAAAAACCACCGGTATTTTTGAATGGCATTGTTTATTTGAGAAACTCCTTGGATACAAATTATGCTAAACTTTCTTTACCAATATTCATTTTTAGGCTGACTAGAAGCAACATTTAGTTCATATCTATGAACTGTGCATCAAATTTACTGGTTCTATATGGAGACCTGTGTATTTTCACCTTGACAAGCCTAACTTGACTAACCCTGCAGACCTGCACTGAAATCATTTACAGATTTTGATTTTCATCCTGCAGAGTATGCAACCACTCAAGTTAATTGCACTTACCAACTCCATTAACATAAATTAAGATATTTAATTAGTTCAACACTCTAGTGGAGCAAAAACAAATCTTTGATAAGTTCAAATCTCTCTTTCAGTTTATATCTAACATTTAGAAGCAGTTCTTATCTCTCTTTTTCTCATTTTCTGACATCACTACCACAAGTCTATTATAAGAATAGTATCTTGGGTTCTGTGGAAATGAAGTGCAATAAATTTAATTTACTGCTGTGGTAATTTTACTTCACCATAAATTTTGCCATAATCAAATCAGTTCATTATAGACCTGAGGCTAGATTAAACTTTGCCATAAATTTCAATAGTTTCAAACTGAATTTATTCCAAGAAATAAATTTTATTTAATTTTTAAATCCAAGGTACATGCATTTATTTATTTATTTCCTACCTTTATTATTTTTATAAATAATTTAAGGCAGTGAACATATCCAACACACCTTCCTTCTCCTATTTTCCCCACAACAACATTCTTCTAAGATGAACTGAGTTGGGAAAGAGTGACTTGCCCAAGATCACCCAACTGGCCTTTACAGCCAAGGTGGGACTAGAACAATGGACAACTTCATCAGGCACTGTCCTTAAGAATCCTGGACTAGAATTTGAGCTAATAAAATTTAATTCTACAGGTTTCTTCCCCAATCCCCTACCTGTGGGAAAGGCTATATCAAAGTTGGCCTACGAATGGGAATTATTCCATGGTAGAAAGAGGGATAATGGTTTCTAAAGGGACAACATTCTAAGAATTTCTAATGATCAGCAAATGTGAGTATTCATCTCTAAGTATTAAATGGCTCTATTAGAGTAACCTTATTGTAAAAGAATCGTCTGAGTTTGTCACTAGCTTCAAAACAACACCATTTACCACCACTTTCATCCCTTTACTACCCACATAGTCCAAAGCCACTCTCACTAATACAAGTATCAATAATGAAAAAGTGTCAAATGATATTTTAAATTTCATATGATATATGAAAGACTCAAGTGTCTAAAGAGACGTGACATTTATACAAATAAGTCCCTGAACAATGATCTAAAAACAGTAATGGTGGGGAATCATTTTAGTTTGTTTTTTAATGGAGTTTCTTCATGGAGCCAACTCAGAATGTCAACACTTCTCTTTAAAATTTATAGATGACTTTAACTATGCAAATACATTTCAACAGTATCCAACTGCCTTTTCTGTTGTAATTCACTGGACTCTTAGAAAAAAACTATTCCAGAAGCAAAGGGAAATCTTAGTTTGAAATCTAATGAAGATCAAAAAATTGCAATGAAAAACCCAAAATAATACAATAGACTCCAATGCAAGAAAGTATTTTGCAGGCATGCACAAAGCTTTTAGGGTTCTTTCCCCTAATTTATTGCAACTGTTTGGATTAAATGACAAATCTCAAGAATATTATCTGTACTTTCAACCATTGAGAAGCATATAGAAAGGAGTATATAGTGAATTTTCCAGGCATAATCACCACTACAGGAAAGACTGAAAAGAAATACTTACATTTACTTAAGATGAAACACCAAGAATTTGAGTAGCTCTAGTTCAGGTGTCAAAGTCACATCATCACATTGGAGTCATGTGACATATCGGGACTTTTTTCCCCTTCACTAAACTGGGCGTGGGCGTGGCCAGCATGTGACGCATCTGTCCCGTGGGCTGTGAGTTTGACAGCCTTGCTCTCGTCCATACAAACTTTCCCCCCAAAATTGGAGTCATCTATAGACAGAGCACTAATGCTACCTCAACTGCAAACTACTGGAGGCAGCCACAACCATCTTCTCCAGTCTGGAGTTGA